AAAGTTTTGCACCTGCACAGCTTTTGTTATATCGAATCGTAATAAAATACGGACACATCAGAGGCAGTAAACTGAAATGTGATTTATTTTTTAAGCTAAAAATATCAAACTTCTACATATAGGTAATGTAATTTTTTATGTTTAAAACTTTACTTCTTTAAGCATAAAGCACATGATATAATGATTTATGTCAAAAATAGCCCGTTAGTTTTATTACAGACGTCAAAAACAACTTCCGTTTACACAGCACATATCTCTAATGCATTTCTTGTAAACTTAGACACTCGTATGTTTAAGTATTATTTGTGCCTACAGCAACAGTGCTCCTGAACATAGGATTCTTATGTAATAAATGCCATTTAGAAACAACTGTTTATAGAATGTGATGCTGATGCTGTTAATCGCTATGTGGCGACGCTACTGTCATGAAAAAAAAAGTATAACCAGTAAAAGTGTAAGCCTAATGTTGCACGAATAGTAAAACATACATGAACATGCATAAATTGCATGTTATTTTATTATTCGAGCAAGTAAAAGAATCTGCAAAAGAGAAGTGGTTAATACTTGGATTATCAAGTTCTGATTACTTACCTCTTGACTGACTCATGGTCAATAGACAAACAAGGTTATGGCTCTTTCCAACGATTGAGTTCGATGATGTCAGTTGATTTAAAGAAGTAAGTGGAACGGAGATGCAAAAGAAATAGGGAATAGTTGCTTCTATGAGAATACCATGAATCAGTGACGTCATACGCTTAAAGGCTTCTGGTCGGGAAGAGCAAGCCTTGTAGTAACCTTGGACAGACTTAGATTCAGTCTAAAGAATTTTGAAATCGTAACACTAACGTTATGTTAAGCTAAATGAAAAGCTTTTAAAATGGGAACTCTTTTGTACCTTCTAACTCGATCTATTTCATAACAACTTTACTATTAATAATTCAGTGCAATAAAAGTTAGACGATTCAGACTAAAATTGCACAATCTTGGAGGTATTCTAGTAACTGAATGCATTTAGAAATGAGAAAAGCTACGTGTAGTAACTCTTAAAACACATTTAAAAGTAAAACTTACTAATAAATAAATTTATTCATAATTTAATTATGTTTATTCAAATTGTTTGTTTTGGAGGTGTATGACGTCACTGAAAGTGCATGACATCTTTTCAAACCAAGGTTGAATAGCTACTTGCTTCATAAATTCTACTGCGTGCTTAAAAAATTATTCCGTAGAATATAAATATCCATCATTTCTCCAATATTATGTATTTTATTTATTTTTCACTGTAATTTACAATTGCATTTAACACTTCATCAGACTAACGTCAAGAGATCTTGACTGAATCTTATTTTACTTCATTACTCCACGTTTCTTTTGGTATCTACGGATTCATCGCACTTTGAATTATGATTCTATCACTTAACTCTTCCACAATTGGTTCACTTTTCAGTTTGCAGAACTTCCGAATATTACCGAGCGAAATGCTTACTACAGCAGAAATATCGGTGGAAGAGGTATCAGGTATGACAAACTACTGGATGCCGGATAAATTTCCTTTTTCTCCGTTTATTGTTATTTAAATGAAATCATTTCAACATAGATCTTGCTCTTAAAAAAGTTAAATACTTTTGATTCCTTGAACCACAACACAGAACAAACTTCAACGAAACTGTTTTTTTATTTACCTAAATACCCAACTTACTTCAACTAAAATAAATTAATGAGACTAATTTTTATTTACAAAAATATTCTTTTTGTTATTGTTGACATTTGCCGACAAGAACAGCAAAAACATATTACATGCACACTCTAACAGAACGCAAAGGTCTACAATCATAGTACATGTATTGCAATACAAATTTTCTTTACGTTCAGATGAAAAGGAAAGAATGTCATTGCATTTCTTTCACTTATTTCTTAGGGTAGGTATTTTGCTCGTTATGGGTAAGTAATGACTCCTGGAATAAGAATAAGAATAGTAGATGGGTGTGTACCTGCATCTTCCCTTAATGTCTATAGATTATATATTTGCTAAATATCTTAACCCAATCTACATCTCGTATATGCTTACCTCAAATAATTTAATAGCTTTAGAAAACTGTGTAATATATTGTATTACGTTTGTAGAGACATTAAGTATTTTGAAAGCAGGCAAGATGAAAAATTAGCAAGCCTTCGCCGGGAATTGAACCACGGACCTCTGAAATGCCGGCCCAGCGTGCAGAACCACTACACCACGAAGGCACGCTAGGAAGGCTGGAGAAATACCTTATACGTTTTTCACATAATTTAAACAGACTAAAAAATATGAGTTATATTGTATTAAATTCTTATCTCATTGAAATTAACAAAAAAGACAGTAACAAGCAAATAAATTAAAAATAAACTTTATTTTATTAGGACAAAAAACAACTAAAGATACGGATAATGAGCGCGGATTATTTGGATGCTGAACAACTGACGTTAGACTAAAACAAAAGTTAACAGTGACATTTAGATATTAACGGTTTAAGTAATAAGTATTCACAATTCCAGGTCTCAACCGCTGAAATGTAAATAAGCCTATATATGTAACAGACTGTAAGATTATGGCTAATAAACGTAATTTATTCGTAATTGTATCATTGTTTCTATTACTTTGAAACGGAAGTTTGAGTTGATTAAAATTTACGCATTATTTAATACCAATAGAGAGAACTATAGCATCAAAATATTTTGGTTTTCAATCAAAAACAGTTGCGCGCCAAATTTAAGGTTTTTGTATTTAGCTAATACATTTTACATCTAAAGAGTAGTTGTATAGTGTATGCCAATTCAAAAAAAAAAAAAAAAAAAAAAAATGCCGAGTTAGAAACATTTGGCATACGACAATTCAATTCCAACAATTTCAATTCTTTTTAGAAGTTATGATCTGCAAATGCCTTAATTAGATACTAGATAATAAATCTAATTCCTGTGATTTTATAGTAATAATGTTACTGATCATTATTATGAACATTTGAAGCATTATTATAATTAATAAAAGATGCTTTTAATATCATAAGCCCTTTTGTGTATAATAATAGTTTGTACACCCCGTGAAGAGGCGTTTTTTATGTGAGAAATGCCGTTAGTGACATCATTGATAAACATTTCCAAAATTTTTGGTGCGTTACCTAGCTTTACGTTATCACGCATTCATCATCTGCTCATTAGGAGGAGTTCTGAGGCTGCATGAAACATTGCACTTCCTTTGCAACGATGACTGTCAAACGATAGGTCATCCATGTCCAGTGACCTCAATAGGCAGTAGTGTATTTCGACTTAATTTTATTAAAAACAAATATGTAAATTTACTCCGTTCCCTCACACCAGTGACCTACGGAGTGATCGCGAGTAACTGTCAAACCGTAGATCACAGACATGCAGCTTTGACGCTCATCGGTGTTCTTAAAAATAACTTGACCTTATTGCTCCGCCCTATACTTATGACTTTCAACTCGTAAGTCATAGATGAACAATGGCCTTAAAATTCACCTTCGTTTTAATTTTATTTTAATAATTTATTTAATTTACATAATTTTAAATGTTTATAGTGTATAATAAGTACAAGTAATAATTTTTATGAACATATGCAACATTACTCTGATTAATAAAAGATAACAGCATACAAGATGTATGCTGTTCCTCCCTGTCTGACCTTTATTTCCTCAGATATCAATCGTAGATATAAATGTCCAATTACAAAAAATATATAAAATGATGCTAATATTCTTGTTGAGCATTTTAAAATTTAAAAAATCAGTTTTTTAAAAACGGTGAAATCTAAAATTTTTATTCCTTTATTCGTTCTCCCTGTACTTATAGTAATATTTAGGGAAAATATATTAATACTTTTAAATTATAGGATGCAGGAAGTGTGCCTCTCATGCAATAAAAAGCACCAAGATTTTATTTTATTTTAAATTTGCACATCATGTTTAAAGGCCGTAGATAAACTAAATACACCCATTTGTATCTAATTAATAATAAAATAGCAGTTTACAAAAATATTTCTGAAGTTAATACATGAAGCGCCTAGCATTTCTATGTAAATTGCCAGGAAAAATATCGACTAACATAATTGTTTTCAAAAAAGAAATTTTGTTTTCGGGGAATCTTATAGTTAAGGGTTTCTAATTGTAAGGCACAGCGTGTTACTACTTCTCCAGGCCACCACATTACTAGTTTTATGCCAACTCTGATAAGATTGTACATATTTGGCTTTGCATTATTTTTACCAGTGTTTAATTGTTAGAAGTTCTGAACCAACTTAGAGTTAAAACCAGTCGTGTAGTCTTTGACTACCAGGCTTAGTTTTAAATTTACATTTCATTGTTTCTTTAAGTCATATCGTCACAAGTTGTGGTTGATATTGTCAAGCACAAACAGTGCGATTCTGTTAAAATTCTGTTTAAATAAAAAGGTTTAATAATTTTAATACTCTGTTGTTAATTAAGGCACAGCGATAAGTCTGTTAGGGGTTTGATACTAGTTTACGCTACCCAAACAAGTGAAATTCTATAAATATCTTAAATATTTCTAGAATTATAATTGCAAAATGTACCTAATAAATATTACAAAACAACAAAAGAAAGAATACGGAATTTTAATGAAATAATCGCTGCTCTGTATTTATGCCAGCTATTAAAATGAAGAAAAATTTTATAATAATAATGCCTAAGATATTAAAAATATCTGTTTAATTTCATTTTAAATATACAAAAATATTTCTTATTTTATCACACCTTTTAGTTAATTTTAACAATAATTAAAGAATGCATCAGCTGTTGAATATCTTACATTTAAGCTCCAGAGGTCAAATAATAAAATAATTGTATAATACCTGTTTGAGATAATACACATTTTTCTACAAAAATTTTATATAAGAACGATTAAATTCATTAGAATTAATTAAATATAAAACGACATAAAAGTTCCTTCTCCTACAAAGTACGAGTCAAAGTATAAGTAAATATAAGAACCTCATATTGCTCTTTAAATCCGCCTGTTTTTGTCATGTTCTTTACATAGTGTTCCAGATCTTCTATTTTCACAACGTACTGCTTTTCAGCACCAGGAGGCGCATCGTAACTCTCTAGTTCCAATATCATCTCTGTAGTAAAATTAACCTAGAAACGGAAGGTATGGCTATAATTATTTAAATTCAATTTACATGAAATTTAAGAAAAAATAAAAAATATTGTATAGTCCATTACAATATTTCATCTGTTAAATTTCTGAAATTAATAGTTGCGTTCAATAATTACAGTTTCATTAAGCTGAAAGGATTGATAATGACGTGATTGAATTCAAGAGTATTATAATTTAATTAATGACTCAAGGTTATTTTTCCAATGCTTTTTACAAATTTTTTAAACAATGTGATATAAGTTCATCACAATATAAAAATGACGAATTCATTATATAATAAATAATATCATCATAATTAAGTTTTTATTCATATAGTATTTTTCACTAGTGTTTATTTTTCTGTACTTTTTGTTTTATTTTATGCGTTTTTATGCATAACTACTAAAAGCATGAAATAACTTTTATAATGGTATATAAGTAAATATTTACTATACAAAATGCAAAATAGATAAATTTATGTTTTTATTATTTTAGACTAAAATTTTAAACAGAGCGCATAAAAGGAGACATATTGTCGCATTACTATCTTCAGAACAATTACTCCATTGCTACTTATTAGAACATTGATCCCAAGCATAATGATTTTCAAACAGTGGACATTATATAACTGTCTACATACATTCAAAACGAATGCGCCAAGTCCAGATCTTAATCTTATTCAGCATATTTGAGATCATGTGTAAAACACAATTAATAATTTCAAAATTTCCAACAGAAATGAACATTGAGAGAAACTCACAGCAGAGCAGGAAAAAAAAATAAAAGCTAATCTCAGACAAAATTTTGAAAAATCTAACCCTAGAAAACTCAGTGAATTGATTAAGAAGAAAGGAAGTTTAACACAATATTAATTTTTTAAAGTTATCTGAAAAAAAATAAAAGCTAATCTCAGACAAAATTTTGAAAAATCTAACCCTAGAAAACTCAGTGAATTGATTAAGAAGAAAGGAAGTTTAACACAATATTAATTTTTTAAAGTTATCTGAAAAAAAATAAAAGCTAATCTCAGACAAAATTTTGAAAAATCTAACCCTAGAAAACTCAGTGAATTGATTAAGAAGAAAGGAAGTTTAACACAATATTAATTTTTTAAAAAGTTATCTGAAAAAAAATAAAAGCTAATCTCAGACAAAATTTTGAAAAATCTAACCCTAGAAAACTCAGTGAATTGATTAAGAAGAAAGGAAGTTTAACACAATATTAATTTTTTAAAGTTATCTGAAAAAAAATAAAAGCTAATCTCAGACAAAATTTTGAAAAATCTAACCCTAGAAAACTCAGTGAATTGATTAAGAAGAAAGGAAGTTTAACACAATATTAATTTTTTAAAGTTATCTGAAAAAAAATAAAAGCTAATCTCAGACAAAATTTTGAAAAATCTAACCCTAGAAAACTCAGTGAATTGATTAAGAAGAAAGGAAGTTTAACACAATATTAATTTTTTAAAGTTATCTGAAAAAATATGTTGCTGTGTCTCCATACTTTTTCGACAGCCACTTCCTAGTTTGTACATGAAAAGTGAATAATTTGATATTTATTTGGCTTTAAGATTTTTCGATTTGTTTACCCCTAAGTTATGGCTTATAAGAAAACTATTTCGTTTAATTATAATTTCGTTAATCAGAATTTGTTACTAGAATTTTTTAATTATTCTTTCAAAAACCATTTGAAAATTTCTTGTGCCTTACTAATTCTTGACGTAATGTGTTCCTACAGTAAATTTTATAATCTTAAAAGATTAACCTTGCATTAAAATGCTTTCAAAACAAAAAGCATTAAATTTAGAAACAAAATTAGAACTTAATGGAAGGACTACTGGTCATGAAAGTCGGAAGAAAAGTATCATTTTAGTAAAAGACACATCAAAAAAAATTTTTTTAAAGAAAAGAAACAATCAACTAAAGAGATTTCATTGTTTGAGCAATTAATATTTTCGAAGTTACTAAACAAAACTTTGATATAAAGACTACCTTTTTCTCCTTTTACTTATAATATCAGTTTTTTGTACTTTAAATATTATTCACTAACATGATTTGACAAATTTAAATATATAATTTCTTAAGATTATTTTTTGTTATATATTTCTTTGCGATTAATTTATAATTTCATTAATATGAAGTCATTAATAAACCGATATAGTGCAATTTTATTTCGGTATTTATTAACAGTTTGCAAGAGAAATTCTTTCAGGAGACTTAAATATGGTAATTTCACTACCCATAATTGCAACCAAAGATAGCCATTTTGCCTAAAACGGCCACTCCACAAAAGACCAAATTTCTCTAGAAACTATATCTTAGAGATGAAAATATCTAATTATAAAACGAGCATAAACATCTGACAGATACTAAAGAAGAACTATGTCAAACTTGTATTTATTTACACATAGACAATCATTCCGAGTCTAATTACAATAACTTCATTTAAAATGTTGATGTAAAGCGAGACATAGACTTAAAAAAGAGCAATACACATTGTTATACAGGAAAAAAATGATAACAGCAGAAAAAGAAATTTTGCATTTTTTAAAAATTACTAAATTACATAATATGCAAATAACTTATAAGGTTATTTTGATTACTGCAAATGATATTTTAATATTTTAAGCACTGCCTAAAGATGCATAAATTTAGCTATTTTTATAGTTCACTTATTAAGAAGTGCTTTGATATACTAACAATAATATACTAGCTCCCCCCCCTCATCCTTCTTTACGCTGCGTAAATCCTGTTTCCTGCCAATATTCGCTCTCCAAGTACGGGTCGTTGCGCATGGTTTTTGCCGGTGCCTGAAACAAAAGGTGGAAATCTTAACAAAAACTTTGTTTGAAGAGTAATATTTTAACAAACTTCCTGCTTTTTTGCATTTTTTCTTTAAAGCAAAGAACTGTTCAGCATACATAGTTATCATGGCGGAAATGGACGTTTTACAAGTATTACAAAACAAGTTATATAACAAAAATATAAAGGAAAATTCATAAAATTAAAATTTTGGGCTACCAACTCTGTTTTTATTGCTAAGTATAAATTGACAATGTTTTTTATATTTAAAATCATTACGTTTGTAATTTTACATAATTATTAAAAACTACATTTCAATGAAATAGATTAGTAACTAAAATTTCTGTATGTATACAGTATAATTTTATTATTTGAATAATTAGTATTAAATATTTTTAAAGGGTATTCTCGTTTAAGAACTCTCAAAAGAAAAAATAAATTACTTATTAAACTAAAATTAAATGTAGAACTCTGAAATTTTCGTTGTATATTTATTACCTTTTTAACATTTAATTATAAATTTTTATTTTCAGAAAGAGCAACATTCATTAATCCAAACCTTCAGATTGAGGCCCAGTACATATGAGAATGACCACGACTGAAAGGCTTGTGTTCAATTAAAAGAATCAAAGTATTTAGTACATAATAATCAGGTAGATCTTGTCGCCTGTCGCCATAGTTTGAACCAGCATCTTTCAAATAAAACCTCTTAAAAATGGCAGTAACCCCAGCCAAAAACTTTACCAATTTTTTCTGAATTAGAATCTTTTAAATAAAACTTCGTAAAAAAAAGATGGCATTAAAAAAAGGCGGGGGAGAACTACACAAATTTTTTCAAGTTTCATCCGCTAAAAAAATTGATTGCGTACAAAATTCAAATGAATAATTTTAACTGCAAAGTCATCATTTTCAGATATGAAAACACAAAAATTTCCCTTCTCGTATAGTTAGCTAGTTATAAAAGAAGAGACAAGCTGTAATATTTGCAACGTGAAATTACTCAGTACACTTTTTGATCAGTGCAAGTTTAATTTCAAAATTCAGTAAGTATCTGAAAATCAAAATATCAATACGCTAATGATTAAATCAACAGGCCGGGTCATTTTTAATATACATTTAGACCACAATGGATTCAGAGTGAGTGACATGGTGCATTTCTGTACTTACTAACGGGCTCCCAAGCTTCCTTATAAGGATATCTTTAAATAATTAATTAATTTAATAATTCAAGAATTAATACCTTCTAAACATGATACTGGCAAAGATAATGATATTTAGATGTTACATACTGGCCCAACATTTTCTACACTAGCTTTGAGTGTATTATATTTATATATATATATATATATAGAGAGAGAGAGCTACGCGCAGCATAACTTTCATGTTTATGTTTATGTTCCATTCTGCGAGTCTGTATTTACTTATTTACTTTTATGAGAAGGCCGCCTAAGTTAATCAAATTCTGGTTCTTCTGTTCCCACACCATCATCTTATCATCACGATCTTCTATCGTTTTATAAATCCTCATGGCCTCGTCCAGTATGAGGAAATTATGTAAATTATGAGGCAAAATTAAGTTATTTTAAAATTTCATTTACTCTTATTAGTATTACTCGTATTTCCTGTTTAAATATTTTATGACTTCCTTTTAATAGATACACATATTTATTAATAAACAACCTTTTAAAAATTTAAGTAAAAGATTTAAATATTCTTTTTTGTGTCACTGGAAAATCACATATATCGCGTTAAGAATTAGTGCCATCTTTAAATAAAATAGTTTATATAGTTGATATCTAATGTGCATTCAAAGCCGTAAGTTTTAACTTGTATAATTGCTTCTAACGAAATAATTAGAATAGTTTGTTTTTACTGAGATCGAAAGTTTTATTATTAAAATTAATTTATTATTTTATAATTACTTTTTAATTACATCAATTAATTAATCAAACAACTATCAATAAATGTGCTTTTTAAAGTATAAATAATTTTAAAGTTTTAAGCGACCATGGATTAGTTTCACGCGTCCGTTTGAAGAAGCTGATCCGCCTAATCTTTTAGGGTAATTTTATAAGTATAATGATCTGTTATCTAGAGGGGGAGTTAAAAGAAACAACCTGTTGAGCAGCTGGAAGGTCTAGCATATGCATTCTCAAAACTAAGTAAACTAAATCTCTGTCTACGCAGTTTTTCACCTG